AGGTACGTTTTCTAAACATTGAGGTACATGCACAATAAGGGCTTTTTTGCTGTGCCAGCAGTCCGCATGGGTAAAAATTTCTGGCCCGTGCCTAAACATCTGCACAGACATGTAGAATCAGATACAATCACTAAAATATCCCTGACATTTTCAATTTCAGAGTTGTTTTTGTCCATAATAGGAGTGTGTTTTTAGGAGCAACAGGGCAATCTAGCATGCAGCAAACAGTAAATAAAGCTCTGCCAGGATGTAATTGTATTCTGCACATCAAATCCCCTCTGAAAAGTCAGCGTTCTTACACAATAGGCATGAGCAGTGTGGTAATTGTCAATTTTCAGTTTCATTTGTCAATTTTTAAGGAAGAGGATATGATACTTACTTATGTGATCATTAACTGTTTCCACTGAGTCCTTTAGCAAATTTGTTTATTTAAATTCTAATAGCAAATTTAGTAAATTGGGCAGGAAAACAAACATATGTCATGTTTATTTTTCTTTTCAGTGAATTGTAACATAGTAAGATGATTGGTTACATTTATTTTCTGTTAGAACAGTTACCCCATCTGATTTCACACATTATCAGTATTATTATTAAACTCCAGATCTAATAAGAAAAACTTATATATTTTCAACTGACCTGAGCCCTATAAATTGGTAGCAGTTGTTCCACCTGCCATCAGACATTAAGCAGCTCACCTTGTTACCAGAGAATCTGGAGGGTGATTTAATTGGGCAGAGCTTGCTGAGCTGTGACACAATATGAAGAGCTCTGGTTCTGGTTGGTTTCCAGGTCAATATTAAAACTGCCCTCCATCTTGATCTTGGATTAAAGTGGGAATGGCTTCTGCAAAACTCCCTCCTTGCCCTGTTGAACAGATTCTAAACAGACACTCAGTCCAGAGGGGAGTTTCTGAGCTGCTGACCACACTGACTTCTGACCTTTTTAATTCACAAATGCACAATTTGTTTTGTCTCTTTAAAAAATGCCTAATTCTCCTTGAAAGCAGTAACAAAGTCTTTTAATTTGTGGTTAATTATTCATCAGATGTGCAATGCAGCCAAAATGTTGAAACAAGCTTAAGAGATAAACATTTGGTAATTTACTACAATGCCAACTGCCCTTACAGACATGAATTAGAGCAGTGGTCTGATAAACCCAGGAGTCAGTGGTCAAACAAGTTTTATCAGTTTGAAAATATTCATGGAATAGTTCCACAATGACAGAAATGCCTAATGGTTTTCTTGCAAAGTATCTGCAGTGTAATTATGAAGCAAACCTATAGTAACTTAGCATAAAAACCAGAAGCAGGGAGACATAGGCACAAAACCCCTGTAAAATCCCAATTTATCATTTTTTACATTTCAGTTTCTGTATGGGTTAAACAATGCTAAATATAAAAGATGATAAATATAAATATAAAGGATCTAATGTGTTAATTTGTGAGGGTTAAACGTGTTGGAAGGCAGGTTTTTCTACTTCTATACAGAGCTCTTACCCATTTCTAATGTTTATGCTAAGATAAGATAACCCTCTGCAAGATGTAGCTGCTACTTATTTATTTTACAAAATATGAGAGTCGTATCAGCCTTCTCATCTAACCCACAAAGTGAATTTTCCAAAATGTCAAACTAGTCCTTTAAGTGCTTTTGCTGTGTAGATTTCAGACTGTACAGACTCAATATAAATTTTGCTTCATAAAATGTTGCCTGCCAAAACTCCAGAGTAATTAGGGTAATTCGTTTTGAGCAGAACTCGCTCATGAGGATTTCTGCATATTACACATGTGAAATGTTATATATAAGTAGGGTATAATTCTATATCATTAGCTGTTGATTTTGTTCCTGGCTGCCAGTCAGGGTCTGTTGTTCAGGCAGCGAGTGGGAGGGCAAAGGAGGTGTTGGCTCTATCTTGGGCTGATAATTTAAGGTTCCAGCTGCTGTCTCCCTCTCCCCAGGTGGACAGCCTGATTGGTCAGCAGTGCATCTTATTAGGGGGAAAAACCACATGTGCAAGGGGAACACATTCGGCAAAATGTGGAGATACAAATCATCCATCTTGGCAGCAGTTTTACTAATATAGGGAAACAGGAAATGTAGTTAAGACAGCTGAGCTTACAAAAATATCCTACCAAACACTGCTAGGTTGCACTGTGAGTAGAGAAAATGAATGGACCCATTATCTAGTTCTGTTGCATCGATTTTGATAGGCTATTTCGTTTTTCTTAAATTGCTTTCCTATTTGTGACAATGTTATAGCAGTGCAATACTAAATGGATGGAGCACTCTGAAAGAGAGGACCCAGAGGTAAATGATTATATCGATATTTCTATAATAACAATGTATCAAACGACAACGTGAAAACAATGAGATAATGTGAAAGAGCTCACTTATACTGGTGAACCAACAGAGGATTATCAGATGAATCAGCAGCTACTCTGGCCTCTACAAAGAGTAATAGTGAGTGTCAACGCAGTGTTTAGCTGTCTGGGCCACAGTTTTACTGTTCTGGTTTACTGTCATTGTTTTAGCCACAGCAAGTAGCTTTTTTCTGCAAGAGAACCTGGCTGTAGACAAGATGGTGGACCACGACCTCAACAGTCAGAAGTTAAGAGGTTTATGAATAGGATTATAATCAGAAGTTAGGGTTAGGGGTTTGTCATAATGTTAACCCTAACCTAACCTAATATAACCCAACTTCTGGGAAAAGCTGAAAAACTACAGCAGAGGTTGACAGTGCAAAAATCTTGGTCACAAGTTGCCATCTTGTCTGCAGCCAAGTCCCCCTGGTCTTCAATGAAGAAATTCATAAGCATCACAAGAAACTGGTAGGGTTAGAGTGACGGTAAATTCAGATTAAAGTTGAAACACAGGAAAAAGGACCTTATTTTCCCCAGAATGTACTCTCGAGTCTTGGGATCTAACTGTTTAAATGAAAGTTACTCTTCCATCATACTTACTTTATCTCATAGTGACCAAACACACAACAAACCCATCGTGCATTCTGGCAAAGTTGTCAATATTTAATTAATCTTCAATTAAGGCAATCCATTACAAAGCATTTCACAAACCACAGTATGACGACAATATCATGTCCAACACCTGGTTTGGAAATTATTCAGCATGCAAGTCAGAGACCAAGAGAGGTATGTAAACAACCTGGGATAAAACAGGAGTAGTGGCAAGAAGAACCCATACAGTATGTGTCTTACAGGAAAAGAATGGAAAGAAACTAGAGATGCAACATGCTAGAGGCTGTTATCTCTAAATACCTTCAGAAATACCAAAAGAAGCACATGGCAGATGCACTAACCAGGTGAAATGAAAGCAGACTACCAAACATCCTTCCATTTTGGCACAAACATGCACATTGTCTGAACACGTTTTGGCACAAAATAGTCTCTAAACAGGGCCTATGTACATAATTAGTCTTCAGCCTAAAAAATAAAAATCTAAATAAAGGGATATTCAAAGTCATTTCACAAAAAGAAAAGAAACAATTCCACTATTGGAAAGACATATTTTAGATTAAAAAATAGTTTTCATAATAACTGAATGGTTCTTAATTACACAAATGTTATTATTGTGCTCCTTTCATATTTACTATTTGATTATTAGTGGGGGTGGCATTTCTCATTTCCCTGTGAAGTCTGGCAGAGAAAAAAAAGTAGAGCATGTTACAGTCTTAGTAGAGCAGTAAACAAAAAACATTTGAACTAATTTTTGATTAGTATTCTGAAATGTGCACACACACACACACACACAGCCCCATCGCCACCTCACACTCTCATTACCTCTGCTCTCACAGACATGTGCAATCACACTCACTATAGGAGCGGCATGCTGAGCCTGACTAATGGCCATCATGCCTGCCAAATAATGAACATTCCCAAATTAATTTTCTGAGTAATGAGCAGCTTGTAATTGTTTGGAAACGAATCGTGTGAAAACACTGTGTGTTACCTGCAAAGTCAATATATCAGACATCTATCATTTTATGATACTGAAGTTAGGAATTCATGATACTTATTTCAATATATTTAATAACAAATGTAGTAAAATATTCAAATGTGCTGTATATTAATTATTTCTTTTAGGCTTGAATGGCTTTGTGTAGAGGTATACTGGTATTTAAGAATGTTTTGTACCCACACTTAATGGCCGTGTTGCAGTTCTGGTGAACAAGAGAATTTGGCAGCAGATTAAATGCTGCTTCATTTATCTGAGGGAGGCATGTCATTGCTAATGAAAAATAATAATTAAAAAAAGAAGTGGTATGGAGCGGGGCCTGTGACAGAAGGACTTCACTGCATCTGGACTGAGTTTCTGCAGTATCATCAGACTCTGCCTGCTCTCTGAGAGCACTACAGCCATGGAAGTCAAACAGGCTGACAACAATAGTAAAGCAACATGAGTTACATAAACACAAAACAAAAATCTAACAAAGCTTCATATTTGCTGATAACCCAAAAATCCTATTAAACCTTAGTTCTCCAGTGTCATTAAATTAAACTCTTTAAGTACAAACTAAGACTGAATAACACATCTCAAAAATAAGCTCGTCTTAATGAAACCCATGAATGGTGACATTTTCCTTGAGGAAATGTGAACAGCCACAGTTAAATTGTAAACAAGTCTTGACTTTGAATATTGTACAACAAGGCTCAGAGACAGTTAACTTCCATTACTTCAAAGATCATTAGTGAAGAGCTGTAGGTATAAAAAGTATACAATTCTGGTTGAGACTGTGTGTCAGCCAATGCAGCTGTCATAGTCCTAATCTTGCAACAGTTTTACTGTCATGAAGATTTTCTGTGTGTGTGTGTGTGTATGTAAATCTTAAACATGAGACCTGCTGCTGCTGCTGGCAGAGTAACACCTGGGTAACTAAATTTGGATATGTTTCCATATAATAGGCACATCTGGATCAAGATGTTGAGTGACTGAGAGATAATAGTGAAAATAATGGACAGACAAATTATAAATAGACAATTTAGGGTGTTCGGAACATACCGCAAGCCAAAATGGCTGTAACTGTCTTTACATATTTTTATAGACTAAAAACAAAAAGCCATGAACAACTGTGTATCTATCAACTGAAATAAATCACAAATCAAAATGGTGACATTTTAACCTAGGTATTAACATGGTATCCCAGTGTTCTGCTATAAAATGGGCTCTTGTGCCTTAAAGATTTTCCTGGAAAATTCAATGTTGATTTGAAAAACTAAAACATAATACACACATAAGACACTGAATGAATCAAGAAAAATGGGCTTTCTGTTTTGTTGAATGTCTTGTTTTATGCAGTCAGTTAAAATGCCCAAATATCTCATAGTCTGTTGCAAGATTTGTGATTGCTCTGTTTTCATAGTAAGAAAACAAAGCAATTCAAGCAGGGGAAAAAATGTGGGTATTAGTTGACATCAGTCTTTTATTAGTTTCTTTGTAGGGTCCTTTAAAAGTACGGAGCAAAATCCCAGACAATAAACTATAACCACAACAAATATAATGGAAAAAAAACCAGATGAGATATGGCAGCATGAGTTAAGGAGTATAATTTACCTTGGCATACTAACAGGGAAAGAAAGTGTGAGCTTTAAATTATTCCTGTTTTCCTGTAAACAATGTTTTTATGATTAATACAAACTTAACATACCAGTACAATCCTTCATGGTATGTTAAAGCCACGTTGAAGACATCACATGGGGTCCTTTCCATTATTTTCATTGTGGTCTAGCTGTTGGCTCATTTAGGGGTTTTCAGCTTGTTAACATTACTCCCTTTGTGCTTTTCATTTGGACAGTAATTAGTGCATTCTGTTAATACAGATATCAGAAATACGTAGAAGACATGGTGCTGGAAAATCAGTATGGCAACAGCTCACAGCAGGTCCTCTACATAACAGCTTACAATCAAAAATTTACCACCGGTGAAAATGATTCCTAAACTGCTGAAAAGGTTTTATCACATGCTTTTATATTACAGTCCTTATCAAAGTAGAAATGGGTTTTTTAATTACACTAGTCACAAAATATAAGATGGAAAACTACAGGGGAAATATAACTTACATCCCCACCATTTAAAATCCTCTCAAAGGAATAAATTATTTCTGCAATAATAAATAAATAAATTAGTATACAGATGATCTCCTAGTTTAATACACATCAACTCCAAAAGGTATCACAAACATGATACACACTGGCACATTCTAACATATTTATGCCTTCATAAAGGCCCTCTCTATGGGTTTACTTGCTATCCATTACATCACCACTTTGACAGGTTTGACAGCAAACAACAAAAACCTCAGTTTACACAAGGCTCCTCTCAGCGCTCTCAGAGAGACAAAACCCCCTGATCATCAGCAGGTTGTCCCAAAACACCCGTATTGCTCCAAACTGAAATGGAGTCTCATCATCTTTTTGTTAAGATGAATTAATATTTATGAAAGGGCCTCAAAAGCATTTCCATTTTCCCCTCAAAGGACAGTCGGTGGAGGCAGGTTCCCATTAATTGTGAGCCTGCCCCGCTTCAATGCAGAGCTGTGCGGTGGCTCAGACGGGGTTGGTCTGTGGGGGGTGGTCGCCAAGCGAGTAAGCTAGGGGTGGGACAGGGTTGGGTTTAATGGCTCTGCTCTTCATGTAGGAGATGAGCTGGTCAGGGATCTCGGCCAGTACGTCTTTAGCCAGTCTGGCCATGCTCAGCACATGGTTACCTGTGCGGTCCATGTAGTCTCTGAATGGGACAAACTGGTGTGACACAGAAACACAACTTTTTTTTACTTCTTTTTTATGATTCCTTTATATATAAGGAAACTTGTTAGCATTAGTTTCCACTCACTGATGGCACCCGCATTAGACTAAACAAACAATCGTGCCATATTGTGCTGTAATTATATTCCCCACCCTAGCTGTTTACACTCTT